CTCCTGCAGAGCAAGTGATGTAGTCGCGAGTGTGTGTAATGTACGTGGTGGTTCCGTATTTTTTATTTATTTTTTTAAGGTTGCAATTTGGATATTAGAGAATGCAAAAGTTGTAATGCATATCAAAGATAACTATTTGGTATTTAGTTATTTACCATGTCATGTACTTATAAATGTTACCCTACCAACGATGGGCACGCGGCGAGCACATGTTAATATGCTCACTGCGTAGGTGGCGTGCACTCATTGGTGATGTATTTTTTTAACGCGGTGGGTACATTTTAATATGCTCACATGCACTCATTGGTGATGTATTCTTTTAAACATATTAACATCACCAATGAGTGCATGCCACCTATACGGTGAGCATATTAATATGTGTAGGTGAGAATTTCTTGTCATTTACCTATCTTTATTTATCTAATTTTGTGCTTCAATCTTTTTCTCTCTTTTTGGGAGACAGATAGATGTATTTAACTCAAAGCCAAGATGAAGTTTTATAAATAGTGTTCCAAAGATCACTATAACACTTGACTATCTAAATTACAGCAGACCTGGAAAATTACAATGCCATCCATGGCTGGCTACAAGTGGAAGTAACAGTAGGAATGAGTTAATGCATTATTAATCCACCCACAATGCCATTCATGGCTGGCTACAAGTGGAAGTAACAGCCTCAAAAGGAATGAATTAATGCATTATTAATCTATCCCTAATCTTTAGTTGCTCATGCACTGATAAACATTTTTATATGTTCATGTATACAAGATGAGGAATTAATGCATTATTAATCTATCCCTAATCTTCAGTTTGCATAAACTACAAGCTCTAACTTTACTGAGTGATGACAAAAAAACACGTGCTAATTGTGAACTTGCCTGCACAGCCAATCCATTCAGTACCATGCAATTTGACTCTCTTAACTCCTCACTCAAAGACCCCTTTCATGCCAAATAGACTATAGAGCTCATCCATATAACTCTCAGGCAACCCTAACAAACATCAGGATTATTATTCAACCTGAAATAGCTAGCAAATCCATTAACATGAAAGAACACAGTAGAGAAAGCCTATCGGGGACTGTGAGAAGCACTTTAGAGAGAGAGAAAACAAAGATGAGAGAGAGGCAACGACGGTCCATCACCACCAATATCTTCCACGGCCTCCGCAAGCACGGCGGCTACCGCCTCTCCCCACGCGCGGATATCAATGAAGTCCTTCGCCACCTAGCCCAGGAAGCTGGTTGGATAATTGACCCTGACGGCACCACTTTCCGCTCCCCCACCTTCTCTAACGTAGGCCGGAACAAATTTATATATTTTTGCGTAAATTTTTATATACTAGAGGTCATATCACCTCATTGTTTGTCATCGTTATATCCTGGTAATTATGTGGAGATAGTTTTTTAGATTTGTATATGATGAGTCTTATTCTATTTCTAATTTCCTGTGATTTATTTAACTCACAGGGGAGCAATATGTCTTGTCCAATGTGCGGCGCAGGGAGAAAGAGTGGGCTGCCGACGCCTAGCAGCAGCTACCTTGGCGGCGGAGACTGCTCGACCACCGCGTCTCCCCGCCACGAGTCCGCCATCAATAACCTTTCATCCGGAGAGATTCCGGCCGGGAGCACGATGGCCTCGAACGAGGGCATCCTGGCGGTGTACATGTGTGGAGGTTCCCCGCCAAATGGTGGCGGTGCATTGGAATTGGACACGGCCGATAGTTAAATTTAAACGGCGTCTTTTTGCAAGTTAAAATCCCACGATCAATTAATAGACTCGCTATTATTTTGGCTTTTTCTTAATCAAGGGTCTAAATTGTTTCAGATATCAGCATAACTATCAAGAAATTAATGTAATATTGAGACGATCAATATTCTAATATCATTTCTTTGTACAACACTTACCCTATTTTTGGTAAAACTAGCTAAATAAACTAGTTTACAATGTATATCAGTAATTTCAAACTTATAGCTTATGACTTAGTCGAAAAGCTAGCTTGAGTAAAATTATTTGTGAATAAAACTAATTACAATAGAATTTCTGGGTATTAATTTTATATATTCTTATTTTTTTCAAAAATATAAATTTTATTTACAAATAATATTTTCTATAATTTTATTTAAAAATAAATAAATTTATTTTTTCTAAATAGTTTATATTTTAATGTTGTCAAATATTTAGATTAAAATTAAATTAAAATTTATTTTTTAACTTTTAAAATAAATTTCGTTAAACTTTTGCATAAATGTAAATTATGAAATAATTATCTTCTTGGATAATTTTATTAAAAATATTTTAATATTTTTCATTATAAGTACTTCAAAAATAATTTTTTAAGAATATATTGTTGTTTACATAATTATATCAAAATACAAAGTGATTTGGAATTCTAAATTGAAAAGTAAAATGTAAAAATATGTCATATTTTTGGAATAACTTAAAGTTGAAACCTTCAAGTTAAAAAGTAAAGATTCAAACCTTAATGTGACACAATAACAAAAAGACAAGGCCTACAAAAGAATTTCCCATTCAAAAATATGTCATGGCCCACGGTCATTATCTACTAGTTACCTACTAGTTATTATTATGTTCATAAATGCTTGGATATAAAAAGTTTTTGCTTTGATTGAATTTTTGGTTTGACATGGTTAAATTTAAAAAAGTTGGTATAGTTAGTTATTAGTAATATATTAAAATAATATTTAAAATAAAATGATTAAAATTAAAAATTAATGTAAAAGTAGGAGAGAAAAGATGTGATGGGATGATTATTTAAAATTATGTGAGTAGATGAATAGTGAATTAATATTGATATTATGTGTATCTAATGATGGATTGATATTATTTAATTATATTGATAATATGATAATAGTAGAGTTGAGTTAAAATTGAGTTTAAAAAAAATAGTTGAATTGAAAATGATTGATTTTTTGGTTGAATTTGCATCCAAGCATACCTTAAATAGTAAAAGTCAATGCATGGACGAACTATGTATTAATTAATAACTAAGGGAAATGCTACGGTTCCGTTACAGAACTATTCCATCAAAATTTGTAATCGTTAGATTATCATATAATCGTTAGATTTCGTAACGGGACCGTAGCCCAATAACTAATAAACAAATAGTTATTTCCATTTTTAAAAAATATATATTTTTTCTCATTCCAAATCTCGTCATCCCTCTCCCAGAAAATATCCCGCGTTGCAGGTAATAAAATATTCCCTCTTTCCACATTTCCATCTCTACGCGCCGGTGAAAATTCAGCCGCGAGCATAAATCCATTTGGAGATATTGTCGGTAACGGTTAATATGAATTTCGCAGGGTGTACCATCATTGATTGGCTTCTGAATATCGTCTGATTATTACTGAATCGATATTGCTGCCTGGAGGTTTGCGTACAGCAAGAGGGTGGGTGTATGAGCTAGGGTTTTTGAGCTGTTAGATCTGAGCGCCAGTCTTTGATTCGATCATCTCTGTTCGAATTTCAACATGTTTTGGCGTATGGCTGGCCTCTCCACTGCATCGCCGGTGAGTACCCGTGATTTTTTTATATTTTGCAAGATTTTTCAATAGTATCCGTATTGTTTGTGGATTTGATTATTGGCGACCCGTTTCTTGGAGATTTGGGGTTGATTATGCCGAGTGATTAGGGTTTTTTGGAGTTCTGTGATGTTCCGTTTGTTGAGATGAGTGTCTTGATTGTCGGAAAAACATTCACGGTATTGTGTGATGCCATATTTTGCGATTCGGTGTGGTTGTTGTATTGAATTGTCTGTTTGGAGGAAACTAATGGTGTTAATGATCAATCAAACTCACCTAGACTTGAGCCGTGTAAAACAGTACCACAGTGAATAGTTGACAATGTGGCGTCATGGCATAATGGACTGGTGTTGATGCAGCTGTCTGGTTGTCATTTGCTAAGATCCTTTCAAAGTAGTACTTTCACAACAAACATTACAGTCGGCAATCCAGTTTCTTGTAAAGTATGAATGCATTGGAATAAGACAAATACAATTTGAAGTTATTATTCACTTAAAAATTATGGAATATCTGGTACAGAGGTAGGTACTTGTATAATGTTTACAGTTGTACTGTTGCAGGTAACACACGAACTCAGTGCCATTAAGTGCCTCATTAAATTGGTTGGGAATGTGAAAATCGGATGTCTAATTTATTTAGGGTATATAAGAAGGCCACATGGTCCTTTTTGTTAGTGATGCAAAATAGATTGTTTTTTGGTTTTTCCTTTACCGGTGTAGGTATCATCTGCTTTATATGCTCATACAGTGACTATTACTTTCCCCATTTTACTTTATGTCTCAACTCCTGCAATTCCTGTCCATCTTGTTGGATATGTATATGAATTTTAAGTCCTCTCTGGTTTCTAAGTATAATTTCCTATTTATTGAAATCATTATCCATTACATATTTTAATAAACTTTGTAATTGTAACAATGATAGTATATTTATTCTTTCACTAGATAATGTAAGTTTTTAAAATTTGTGATTTCAGGTGGAAGCTATTTTGGATAAAGAAAATTTTACTCTGGAGGAGCTGTTGGATGAGGATGAAATAATTCAAGAATGTAAATCTCTTAATGGTCGTCTTATAAATTTGTAAGATCCTGGTTCACTTACTTACTTCCGACGTGTTTGTTGAGTTATTAGTCCAACTCTTTTTCTTCAACTTAATTCGCTGTTCTGTTGTGTTTTGGTGTCTTCTTATAATTGTTTTGTGCTTAAAGTGGAGACAGGGTAGTTTGTTGTTCATAATATATCAACTTTTTCTTATACGGAAAGTACATCTTGCCGAGGGGCCGTCATATGTACTATTTTATGAAGTGTTAGAGTGTAAGTGCTCACAAGATTATGCTATGCTGGAAAATAAAAAAAGTAAGCGTGATAGGTTGATTTGCAGATTATGGGAGGGGCGCGTTTGTGAGGAAGTATATTTGTTCATTATCAACTAGGCACTCTTTCAATTAACAGGGTCCTCGAGAAGTCTTAATCAATTCTTGTACCTAAACCACATCAATTTTTTCTACTTGTTTTGATTCATTATCTGACTTGGATTGCCCCACATATTCTTTGTGTTTTCTGTTAGTAGTGAGAAACAACTCACTGCTCTTTTGTGTTTTTATTTTCTCGGTCATAAAGTTCATTGTATTTTGCCCTTGCGGGGACTAATATACACCAATCTTTGTTGAAGTTTGCGTGAAGGAGATAATGTTAGGCAACTGATTCGGTACATAGTGGAAGAGGCTCCAGGGGATGCTGACAGACAACGATCATTCAAGTAAGCGTGTGCTACGGATTTTGGTGCATGCATGTTGATTGTTTTCAGGCTGCTGAGTGCTGTATAGCAAATATTTTTCGTTATAATTTCAAAGCTGATTTACTGGTAAGTGACTGACCTTCTTTCTGCCTGCAGGTTTCCTTTCATTGCTTGCGAGATTTTTACTTGCGAGGTTGATATTATACTCAGAGCCCTGGTAGAGGATGAGGAGGTATGCAACTGTGCATTTTCCAAAATTTGTTAGGCTTTGTATTTGAAATTTATTTCTTACCTTATTTTTGGTTTACAGCTGATGGATCTGCTTTTCTCTTTTTTGCTGCATGAAGGCCCCCATAGTACTCAACTGGCTGGTTATTTCAGTAAGGTATGATTATTGATGATTTTATGGGAAGTTATATGTGTGGTTTCATCACATGTTATCCGTGTTGTCAATGGCGGTTGGCTGACATCGTGCCTTGGCGGCTTTGTGGAGGTGGGGCTGGGGCTGCCATAACCGCCATCCTCACAAATTTCTAATGGCGGTTTTGGAAGAAATCCGCCATGCCACAATGGCGGAATTTGTTAACGGTGCCTGTTATACAAAGAATGGTTAGTAGAAAAAAGGGAAGAACGAAAAAAGATTGGAAAAAAGGATTCCATGAAAGAGATTGAGATCTGGATTATTAATTAACTATATAATAAGGCTAAGTTAACACTATATTAAGGCTAACATACAGCTTTCTGGACATTGACATGTATCCATGCTAAAATTCAATCTCTTGGTTTTTATGGTACTCAGCTCCTTGTAATTTTATTTCCCAGTTTGTAGGCATCTGAAATATCCACAACTTTTTTTTTTTT